AAAGAAAGGGTAAAAGTTAGGGGCTTAAAACATACCTTCTCTAGCTTAACTCTTTTTCTTCATTTTTTTAGCTTAACTTTTTTTGTTATTGTAATTCTATACAACTCTTCTCGTCTAATATTATTATTATTTTACTAATACTTATATCTCTCTATTATTTTATTAGCACTTTAATGTCCTTAAAGAGGACTAAGATACTAATAATCGGTGGTCACAAAGCATGTAACTCACAAAAATCTCCCTTGAACTTTGAATTTTTTCACCTAACTTCTTTATATGACAAGTCACAAAGTTTGAGATTTTTCCCCGCAGAATATTTTAAGTATTTATAAATTAACATGCAAAGGGGTCAGGTGAGATGAACTAAAGTTCAGACATGATTTTTCTAAGTAAGTTTAAGAGGAAGACATGATTTTTCTAAGTAAGTTCAAGAGGAATATATGAGATAAACAAAATTCGGGAGGTGTAATATTCAAACATCCCCCAAGTTCAAGGGTTATGGGAAATTAATCTTAAAAAATATCTTAAAGACCAAAAATATGAGACCAACGGAGCAGACAAATGATGTATCCCCTCCTTATTACATAATAAGCTGGTCATACCAACTCATTCTAGCTTATTATGCAATAAACGAGAAACATCTTACTTGTCTTTTTCTAGGGAAAAATGTTTCAAGGCCCCAAAACAAAAAAGCGGATGTGGCCCAGCCCCCCCAATTAACTGCCTTAGCCTTCAGCCCCAAAAAATTATGAAAATTGTGGCCCAGACCCAAAAGCCCATACGTATACATCAAGTGGGTGTATTTTGTTGCTTCCTCCCGAAAATGCCCTCATCTCTCTCAAAGAAAACCGGCTGAATGGGTTCTCTTGTTCGGTGATCTCTCCCAACGCATTTATGACGAAGTGACGGGGGAAAGCGGGGGGAAAAAGCGCGGGCTCCCTTTGGCCGTATTCCGCCAAAACTGAATTTGATCTTCGGTTGTCAACTTCTCTATTTCATCTTCACTCTCAAAAGCATCTCTAATATGCTGGGCCAAAATCTGAAAAGTAAACCATATACCCATTACCCATATGTATCCACAATATTAAAAAAATAGTTATGATAATCCACAATGTAATTTTCTTACCCAAAACATGTTAACATGAAACAATGAGTACATGGAAAATTAACTAATGATAAAGATAGAAAATTTAACTCAATTGGTAATATGCAAGAATGTGTAAAGAGTCATTGATGCTTACGTAACCTACGGATGAGCTCCTTGTCCTGCCCTTCACCTTATCTTGCTTCCCATCCTTTACCTTTTCTTCCTCATTCTTCTTTCTCACCCTAGTTTGCTCCATAACCTTACTCCTATATGAGACAATTGGGCTTCTTTTTTTCCCAAAGCGAGCGATTTCAATCTTCTTCCTGCTAGGCTCCCGTTGAGGGTATTTTTCACCTTGAGGGTATTTTTCACCCCATTCAATGCTGGTCGTAATTGGTCTCTCCATGATTTTAATGCTTGCTTTCTTGGCCTTAGAGACAATTGTCTCCATCCTCAACGATCCAGCAGTCCCTCCAATCCTTACCCAATTGGTCATCGGAGGCTTCCATCTCAAGTTTAGGGCTGGTTTTTTAATGCCAGTCATCTCATAGTACCATAGCTGTCAGAATCGAAGGAACGAATATCAAAATAGTTAACTTTCAGAACTCATTCTTCAACTACACTCTAAATAGCTACCTTTCACCAAAACATGTTAACATTAATGGGTACATGTTAACTTTCACCTATTAATGTTAACTTTAATAATTATATGTTAAAGTTCATGATAACATGTTAACTTTCACCTATTGATGTTAACTTTAATTTTTATATGTTAAAGTTCATGTTAACATGTTAATTTTAACCATATTCTGTAAACATTTAATATTGTACATGTTTTCTAATGCCTGTTACCAAGACTAATGTTAACTAAAACAAATGTCAGACCAGTTGGTCATGCAACTTACAGGGATGAGCGGCATGCATCCAGGTACGTATGTAACCCCTGGCTTCCTCAACCCTTCAACGGCAATTTGAATGCCTCTCTTCGTCTCATCAAAAATAATTTTACCCCACGCAATGTTCTTCACTCTCTCAATACTATCTACATATTGAAACAACTGTCTTGGAATGCCTTGTGAGCTGTTGGGGCACCAAATCATTGCACACTGGTACAAGATCTGAAGCAGCACAAAATCCTCAATGTCCTTATTTTCAGAAGACTCAACCAGTGTTTCCAGTAACTCCTCAACATATCTCCTCATGCTACCAGCTTCTTGTGTGTCCTTGGCCTTCTCCTTTGACTTTGCCTTTAGCATTTCTTTCTTCTCTTCAAAATATTCCCTCCAAAGCCGGTTGTGCGGGTGTCTATTCCCGTAGATCAATTCCCCATCAATAGGGAAGCCCGTGTGAGTTTGCACCCACTCTTCATCAAATTGGACTGAAAATATAGTCCCGCTTATGGGATCAGAAAAAGAGAATTCATCAGTTTCGCCAACATAATGGCTGAGCACATGCTCTAGTGCCCGTCGATCACGTGCTGGAGGTCCGAAGAATACATAGTGCTCAAAGTTACTGCCCTTGTAGGCATCCCAATGCCACTGCTTCAGTTTTGGTTGAAGTCTTTGCATGAAAGTACAATATGATCCAAGACAGGCACTAGGCCGTATATCACCTTCGGCTGTAGCTTTCCTGCATAAACAACTATTTACTCTTAACAAGTCATTCAACTCCAAAGTAGGTAACAATTAACCGTAAAGGCATTATCTGAGTCAAAATTTCGTTTTATTAACATGAATAGCTAATACTTGACACTTATGCATAAACGTTAACAACAACCAAGATTTATTGACATGCATTGCAACTAGCTATCAACAAATGAGAATTATTTACATTCATTTGTTCCAAACTGATAACACTTCGTATTGTTCAGATCTTACTCCAAAATTACGAAACTGGTTCTACACTACAATAACCAGTCTCTCACCACCATTTTATTCAAAAAAAGATCCCATAAACCTCAATTAAAATCAAAATCACTCATTTACACTAATTAAATTCAAAATCCCTCAATTGCTTGGGAACTTACTTCTTCTTTGAGATGGACACATCCTCCAGCGAGCGTCTCCTCTTGCTTTCGCGAATATCCAGACTTTTCATGCTCAATAGGGTTTCCGTCGCCTCGTTACTCTCCTCATCCTCAGAGGATGTCGGAGCAGAATTGCCGGCGGGCGATATCAAGGCAGAGGCGGAGGCGGATAACTTTGGCATTTCCTGCTGCGCCAATCGTGCCGATCGACGCCGGTGACGAACGCCCTGTTCCGTTTGTTTGTTGGCCACTTCAGACTTGCTACGCTTACGGTTCTTCGCCATTTTACTTAAATTTCTTTGGGGCATTTTCCAATTAGATTTCCTAGCCGCTTGAGTGAAACTAGGGTTTTGAAAATGGGTTCGAAAGCTAATGGAGGTTTGCGGTGAAGAAGATACAGAGAGAGAAGAGAGAGAGAGAGAGAAGGCGGAAGGGGGGAACGGGTACAAAAGGGTACTTTGGTCTGAACGCCTCAACTTTTCTCTTAAAGTTGTCTTGGAAATGAAAAAAGGGCTGATTAAGTATTAAGTTTGGTTTTGGGGGGTTTGTCACACCAAAAAAAATACAGGGGGCCTGCCCACATCCGCTTTTTTGTTTTGGGGCCTTGAAACATTTTTCCCTTTCTAGGTCTTATATTTTATAAAGCTCATTAATCTTTTATTTCGCACATGCAGGAGCATAACCTGCTTCGGTCCAAGTCGAACAATTTTTCACTTTAACCCTATTTAAATTTTTTATTATTAAAATCGACATTTTTTTCTTTTATTTACCAAAACCGACCCGATTTCTTGATTAGCGGCTTAATCACATTCCTAATTAGTCGGGGTTGCCAACCCCGACTATTTAGGAGGGTCTTAAACCCTAATTAGAAGCCTTAAACCCTAAAAATTAATATCCTAAATAGTCGGGGTTGGCAGGCGCCGACTATTAGGAATGTGATAGCCGCTAATTAAGAAATCGGGTGCGGTTTGATAAATAAAAGAAAAATGTCGATTTTAATAATACAAAATTTTAAAAAGGGCAAAGTTGAAAATTATTCGTCGCAAGTCCGCTTCCTACTCCTCTAGGGTTTTACCGCTGGGCGGCCTCGCCATTCAAAGAGTATTTACCCAAAAATTCCCTCACGCTCCCGCTAAAACCTAAAAAAGAAAAAAAAAATCCCCTACAATCCAACACCCAAATGCCGCGCACAGAGATCGCGTCAGCCGGCGGCGATGAAAGGAGGCCGGGCGTCGCGGGCCCCGGCAGTCCACGCCCCGCGCCGCCGTCGCCTCCCCCTCCCCCTTCCACCCCCAACCGCGGGACTCCGAGGCAGCATGTGGCAGCAGCCGCCCCGTCTCCGCCGGCGGTCGCCCAAGCCAGTCTCCGCCCTCTCTCGCGATCCGCGCGCTCCCAGTCCTCCGCCCTCCGTCTCCGTCAACTCCTACGCTCACCTCTCTCTCTCCCCCCATTCTCCCTCCGCCTCCCCTCCCCTCCGCCCGCGACATCACCGACTCTCTCCTGCTTTCCTCCTCTCTTCGCCTTCGACCTGCGCCCCGCCGGCCCACCGACCACAACCCACAAAGCACCGACTCGACCGACGACCTCATCTTCCGTCCTAAGCTCCTCAACTGCCCGCGTCAAGATGCAAACCGCTCCCGCTGCTCCGCGCTCCCGGGGACCCCCATTCCTGGCCTACCCCTCCCGTGCCGTCCATCTACTGTGCTCGTCCAGCCGCCAAGTACACGACACCAGCTCTGCCTCCTCCCGCCCCCCCCGGGCTACGCCAAGATCTCTTGCACCTACACGTCTCAGAGCTAGCCTCTCTTTATATCTTCGGGCGACGACGATGCAGGTCACCCGAGGCCTTGACAATGACCTATGTGAACATCAGTATGGAGAGAGAGCGGGCCGCTAATGCTGGCTGAGTCGGTCGAGTTGCTGGCGAAGGAGGCGGCGGAGTTGGAGGAGAAGGTTGGCAAATTGAAGTCGGGGGTGGCGAAGGAAGGAGGAGCTTGAGGCGAGTAGAGGGATTTGCTTGTGGAGGATAATAAGAAGTTTGAGTCGGTGGTGGAGAGCTTTAAGGAGCAGGTGGGGGCGATGGAGGCGAAGCTGAGGGATTGGGAGAAGGAGCTAGAGGCGAAGCAGAGGGAGAATAAAAGGATCTGCGAGGAGAATGAGGAGTTGGAGAGGAGGATTGAAGGGCAGGCGGTGAATGCGAGGGATGTGGAGAGGATGAGGAGAGAGTTGCAGGTTGTGGAGAGGGATGTTAGGGAGGCCGAGAATGGGAGGAATGCGATGGAGGAGAAGGCTTGGGAGCTGGAGGCAGATATCGGCAAGAGGTTGAAGGAGCTCAAGGTTACGGCGGAACAGTGCAATCAGGCTATGAGGAAGTAAGCTTTCTTGAATGTTATTCATATGATTTATGTGATGCTTGCTATGCAAAATGAAAGTAGATTTGTAGTTCTAGTAGTTACATAGTAGCAACGTAGCACGGACACGGACACGGATACAAACAAGGAACACGACAAATTTATATAATGTAGGATATGGGGACACGGTATATAATACACACATGATCAAATATCGAACGTAAATACCAATAACATTTGTATGTTTTTTTCTATTATCTATAACAATTGAGAATCTAGTTAAATCAAACCAAGAATAAGATTTAACAATAAGCTGATAAAGCTTCGCAGAAGGATGAGTAGAAGTATCTTACTGGTGATTGTGGATCTACTATCAGGACTCTGTAATATGGAGGTTGGTCCTAGTCTTGGTAACTCGAAGCTGTAGAAAGTCTTTCCTTGATAGTGGCAACAAGTTTTTATGACGAACCATACGTTCTTTAGGATGCCTCTTCAACTTTTAATGACCTTGTTGATCAAATGTATAAACTCTTTCCACACCTTTCAAAACTTGAAGGTTGAGAGCAAGAAAGGATATGGTTTCCATTTGGAGGAGTGGTTAAGATATGGATTCATATCCATAAAAGTCTATCTAGTGCTTTTAATCTAGTACCACTCATATTTTGGTATTGTTAACTGTGTTAGACAACTGGCTCACCCAAAAGATTAAATGCTGAGTTGTGGACTAAAAAGGTGTGCAGGTGTACTAACATTATATGGATTGATTCAATGTCACTGTACAATTTTTTCTTCTTACACGAATGCAACCTGCTAAAGCAAAACTCTTATTCTACTGAAGAGAAAATGTCAAAAGACTCCTTGGTTGCATGACTTAGGACAAAACAAATTTAGATTAATGTACCCACTGTACACTCTCAATTTTTTTTATCTCATAAACAAGATCAGATATAGTGAAATATTGTGGATTAACTGAATGTCACTGTACAATTTCTGCTTTTGACATGAATGCAATCCACTACAGCAAAACTCTTATTTTATACTGATGAGAAGGTCAAAGTCTCCTTAGTTGCATGAGCTCAACTTTTTTGACATGAAAAAATTAGATCAATGTACCCACTATACACTCAGTTTTTTTCTCTCATAACCAATAGCAGGTGTAGTGAAATATTGTGGATTGAATGTCAATGTACAATTTCTGCTTCTTACGTGAGCAAAACTCTTATTTTATATTGAAGAGAAAATGTCAAAGGCTCCTAGGTTGCATGACCTCAACTTTTTGACAAGAAAAAATTAGATCAATGTTCTCACTATATACTCTCGAGTTTTTTCCCCTCATGACCTATAGCAGGTGTAGTAAAATATCATGGATTAACTGAATGTCACATTGCCACTGTACAATTCCTGCTTTTGACATGAATGTAATCAACTACAACAAAACTCTTAATTTATACTAAAAAGAAAACGGCAGCTTCTTGTTTGCATGAGCTTAACTTTCTTGACAAGAAAACAAATAGATCAACGTACCCACTATATACTCTCAAAGTTTTTCCCCCTCGTAAGTCATAATCAATAGCAGGTGTAGTGAAATATTGTGGATTTCACTGCTGCTTCTGACATGAATGCTATCCACTACAACAAAGCTCTTATTCTATAGTGAAGAGAAAGGTTGCATGAGCTCGACTTTTTGACAAGGAAAAAATTAGATCAATGTACCCACTATACACTCTCATATTTTTTTTTTCCTTCTCAGTTGCAAAAGTCCTAATATGTTAGCAACAATAGCTGCAGAGAACTAATTACCAGATAGCAAAATGATAGTAAAATTTTGTTATCATGATTGCTCTTCCTCTGCTTATCTTATATGTCTTAACCATCATTCGCAATCTGTCTCATCTACTTTCTAATTGCCAAATGGATACTTCTTGGCCACTTTTCTGATTTTCAGGTTAAAGCTTGGTGAGGATCTTCAATATACTCTGAACCCTCAAGGATCCTCACCAGCTGAGGTCATGGGCATTGATTACAAAAATATCTTGAAGCCTACACTTGCTGCTCTCTCTGAGGATACAAAGAAAGGGTCGGTCTCAAAGCTAGAGGAATTGATGGCTCTACGTCAACAATCACGTGAAACTGCTGTGATGATAGAGGAGAAGAAGGGCTCGCTTGAGGCTCTTCAAGCTAAAGTTGCTGAGGTGCGGCCCTGGTGCATTCTCATTTACTTTTAGATATCTCTTTATGTTATTTACTATGGCCAATTAATCAATATGGAATTTGGTTTCTTCCCAATGCTTGTCACAATAGGATTCTGGGTAACTGATTGATAGGAGAACCATGTTTGGTTTTTCTAAGCAACATACTTTTTAATTACTTGATATAGACATAATCATTCCCTGAGTTTAATCTATAATGAGCACTACTTCTAGATATCATGCAAAGATTGACACTGATTCTTGTTATTAAAGCTACTCTGTCCTGACTGGAACTGATTTTTCAGTTCCTGGAAAAATTCGAGTTTATTTTAGATTATTGCTGCTATGTTATCATATATTATTTGTAGTTCTGTGCTGCTATGCATTTTCATAGATGAAGAAAACTACATAAAGTTTTCAGTTCAATCTGTCCTTGATATATTTAGAATTGTCATAGAGGCAATTCAATCCGTTCCACATGACTCAATTGTTTTACATGGTAATTAAAAACTAAATCTTTAATAATCTGAAACCTACTCTCCAGAATTTAGTCCCATTTCCTAGCTTAGAATGACAATTCAATCAAGTAAAGAATTAGATAGCATCTTGACAAGCAGGAAAAGTATGTATATCTTTTAAATATAAACAAATTTGTAACTGATGCTTGTATGTAGGGGTGCATACGGTTCAGATAGGGGTCGGCTATGATACCTACGATATCCATATCCGCTTGTCAATCATAGATACAGATACAAATATGCATTGGTTAGGAAAGTTCATATCCATATCTAGTAAAAATGTAAAATCAAATACATATATAGATATACATGCGGATATATAAGTGGATATACATTCTGATACAAAACAAAACGGATATGAGAAAACTATATACTATTGAAAAAAATATAGTTCATATGATACAAGACAGTTTGTTAATATTCGTTATATCTGAAAAAGCAAAGAATAGATCTCTGGATCATCAAAATTACCATCAAATCCATTAACCTATGGATTAAAGCTATTACAACTGTAAGACCAACATATACTCAGATATTTTGGATACAGATCTGGATATTCACTACATGTCTGTGTCCATAACCATATCATATGGGATATAGATTTTAGTAACCATATTGGCATCTCCATGGATACAGATATTTTTGTGCACCCCTACTCGCTTGTGATCCAATATATGGGAAAAATATGCTAATCACATGAACCTTTGCATTCTATTGGAGACTGGATTACATATAGCATACTGGTAAACAAAGGATCATGTGAAAGGTTTTCATGAAGACCTTTCACTCAATATGTTTTAGAATTTTGACGCTAGAGTTGATAGGCTCTGGAGTTGTGTAATACATGCACTGAGAAGTTATTACTGAATTTTACAAAATCTTGGCATCACAAAATTCATTAAGCCAGTAGCCAATAGGTAAATGCTCCTGTAGACTCTGTACATTGGAAGAGCTAATCTGTCAGAGCATGTACAGAATTATCTATCGCATAGATTAAATACAACTGGTTTCTACCTGAGGGAGTAACTATTGTTGAAGTTATGGCAGGTTAACATATATCAAAGTAAAGGAGGATTTTTTTAAAGTTCTTTCATTTCCTTATTTTTGTACGCTGGGGTTAATTGTGGATAGGCCCTATGTACTATCATCCAGTTGCGAATAGACCTCCTTGTACTTCTATTGGTGTGGATGGACCCCCTGTACTATTGACTGAGTGCGAATAGACTCCCTGAGTGAATATTTTTTACTATTAATCCTCAGGAGGTCTATTTGTGAAAATATAATTCTCTATTTCTACGAGGGAAAAATAGCCAAGAATGTCCACTCAGGGCGATTATCCGCACCAATAGAACTACAAAGGGGTCTGTCTGCAGTAGAGCGATAGTACAGGGGGTCTATTCACAAATAACCCTCATAAATGTAATAGGTATCAATACATTGGTAAGAGATGGATGTTAGGCAACTTATTTATAGAGTGTGCTGCTATCACCATGAGTTATGTAAGCAGTAGGCGAAACTTTATAGAGCTTGGTATTTATGATTCGACATTGTTGTTGAATTTGGCGAAGTTGAAATGCTTATTGTGACTAAGTGACCTGAATCTACCATTTACAATATGCTGAAACTTACCCAATCTGATCCTTATAACAATTCAATTATTTGCTCTTATTTATTGTTCTGCTATTTTATCTGCTATCTTCATTCATCGACAATAACTTCTTTTCGTTCCTTGTAGTTTGGCTTGCCTTTTCTGTGGCAACCTGGGCATGTAAAGCAACTAATTTATCTGCAAAAGGGATGGGAATAGGTTGCATTAGATAGTTTTTTGAAGAGCCATTTTGGGTTTGATAGGAAGGGGGTCATTTTTTGAGTGGGATCTATAGGGGAAGGTTGATTGCAGATATTTTGCGATCTTTTAGAGTCTTGCCTGCAATTCATTTCAATAATTCTAGTTTCGCTGTGAGCCCTACTGAAAGAGACGGAAACAGGAAACAGAATCAGGTTATGTCAAGTTACAATACTACAGTTCACATATAATTTACAGAGTTATAACTAGCAATTTTTAACATAGTTAAAATACGTAAAATTTGGCAAAACTACAACTCTTACTCAATTTTACTTTGCTGAATTCAGAAAAGAGAAGGCTTCAGTTTATAACCGTAATCAAAGTTTTATGCTGCATGTAGAAAGCCAACAAAACTTGAATCAAATCCAAGGGAGAAGTAAACCAGGAAAAATCAAAGCAAAGGGGGAAAAAGAAAGAAAAACAAAATGTAAAAAGAAAAAGAGAAAAGAGAAAAGAGAAAAGAGAAAAGAGAAGAAAAAAAGAAAACTAAAAGATAAAAATCAAAGCAAACCTCTTCTACTGAGGTTGCTGGAGCAGTGTATACGTGTGATACAGATTAGCCAAAGAAACCTCCTTTCTGCTTCGATCTGTCAAGCCTTCGGCTGTGAGAAAGAAACTATCCACTCAAATCTCGTCAACAAATATCAAAAGATGAACAACTAAAATTAATGCTACTTAAATAACTTGTGTTACATTAAATATTATTCTTCAATCTAGTTGACTTTATGGTTAAATATGATTCTATTGTACGATTGCTTGGGTTTGGAGTTCCTGACAGATTCAAACCTATATGTGATCAAAATTTCAAACCTCCAAAAACTTCACATTTCTCATATGATATGGCATTCATGGACCCAAAAAATGTGAATCATAAAATGAAAGTTTTTCCAATGATGGACCTTTGTGGTTAAGTTTCCTTATCCCATCACATCTGTACAAATTTGTGCACAAACATCCTTGTGAGTATTCTAAATCATGTCCATTGGAGGGCACAAAAATTGGGTCTTCTACAAAAGTACTAATTATCCAATTTCTTTGTATGAAACTGCTTTCTAATCTCTTTTTATCATTGAGAATATTAATATAACCTTGTTTCCATTATATTTAATTCAGTTTCATGTAACCTTAAACTAAGATAACAATGGAGGTTAACAGCTAGACATTTTAAGTTGATGCTGAGCAAGGCATTAATGCTGTGTCATGGCACAAGTGGCTCCAATACTTAGGATTGAAATAAAGAGAACATGACAATATGTAAATATAATATAGAAGTGACTTTACTTTGGAGGAAGCAAACTTGAAAACTAGTTATCAAATTTCATTTTCTGACAGTCCCTTATGAGGGACTGTAGTTATCAAGTTTCATTTTCTGACATTCCCTTATCAGGTACTATAATCATGTCCTTCAGTAACAGTCTAGTAAGGAGGATATGAAGATCCCATGTGAAAAAAATGTTTTCAATTGGTGAAAAAAGAATTTAGGGTACAGATCTCATATGAAAATTTCAGAATATTTAACAAACCTAAAGATTGTCAAATTGAATATTATAACTCAAGAATGAAACCTGAACCTGAAGAGCCAAAAGAACCTAAAGAGCCTGAAGAGAAGGTTAATCAACAATCTCCTTGCTCGTGTGGAGCTCGAATTGTGCGTATCCTTACTTTTTTTTATTTGATTCTGTGCGTACCCTTACAAAACTTGTAATTTTTATGAATTTTATTCCTGAATTCTGTTTGACTAGATCCGGGATGCCTTCAAGGATTTCATGTTACTCATTTCCGTGCCGTTTTTGGTTTCATTGTTTGAAAAATTTCAATTCTAGGAATTTATCAGAACTGCTTTGTGGATCTGTAGTTCCCATATGCATTGATGAATCCTATTGGATCTGGTATGTCTGAGATGTGTAGGTACATAGTTCATAGTTGGAAGTTGCAATAATGTTATCATGACTTGATTCCTAAAGAATGGAACATACTAATGTGTTCAATCACATTATGAAGGTACAAAAACTAGAAGTTTGGATAATAATATGCCTTTTGATACAATGGACCGTGATTCTGGTTCTGCATCGATATTACGTCATGAAGTTCTAACTGAGGATCTTAGTCATGTTCATACGAAGAGCATGCAATTAAATTCTAGCGACTCATATTTCCACGGGTTTTTTCATAGCTAGAAACCACCTTTAAAATAGGGTGATTATATATAAACCACCTTCAAAGCTCAATTAGCATAGAAACCATCTTTTAATAGGGTTCTAATTGCAATCAACTGCCTTATCCTATTTTCTGATAAAAATTTTAACTGCAATTTCCAAAATACCCTTAAAAACACGTCATGTACTAGGTTTGGTTAGGAAGACATGTCACATGTCCAAGAGTAGTTTGGGAATTTCCGTAGATTTTTCATTAGAAAATAGCTCGAAGTGGTTGATTGCAATCGGAACCCCCCTTAAAGGTTGTTCTGTATTAATTGAACTTTGAAGGCGGTTTTCATATAATCGCCCTATTTTAAAGGTGGTTTGGGTGAAAAAGCCCTATTTCTGCCATGGTAGCTACCAAAATTATCTGTGTATGACATCCTAAATGGCAGTTTCATTTTGAATCCCATGCAATTTTCATGGTTCTACGATATATGGGTCACTCCTCTTGAAGGTTACAGTTCTCTATCTGTTCCATAGATCTGAAACATTATTGAACAAGTCAATCTATCCATCCATCTATCTTATTTTCCAAACATATACACATAAGTCAGTTTTTATGCTCTCTTTTCTTAGAAGCTTGAAGTAAAATAATTGCATTTTTAATTCTTACGCCTTAACATTTGGTCATGTACAATGCAGACCTCTTAGTGCTAAGAAACCTGATAATATTATAATTAGTGGGGCAAAGAGATTAGAGCTAGACCTAAAGAACTTGGTTGACTTGGTTGGAAGCAATTAAGAAGGATATGATAGTTGTTAGCAGACCCAAAACAAAATTGAATGGAAGAATATGTTTATGTAGCTGAGGCCAAAAATTTGGGATTAAGCTTTGTTGCTGTTAATTCTAATACCTCAATATTTCTTAATTTATAAATTCAGCATTTATTTGCAGACACACGCTCACACGTGAACACATAGAAGAAGACTTTGCAACAGGTGTCTATGCATGTGTGCATGTGCTCATGTGCTTGTGTTTAAATATGTAGCCTTTTTAGTAAAGCAGCGTGTATCTTTTATGAGGCAGTGGGAATTAATCCTTTTCTCATGGAAAAATGCTTTCAGGCTGAAGCTAGGTTGAGTTCACTGAAGAAGGAAATTGAAGAGCATGCATCCAGATGTGCAAGCGAAGCTGAAAAGGTACAGGAAGATTTCACAAGAAAAGAGAATCAGTTGAGAACAGTGGAAAAAGAGGCAGAAGAGTTTATAAAGGTATCATTTGCTTCTCACTTTCTTTTCACACTTCTGGCCATGCATCTCCTTTTAGTTCAGGGTTAATTGCTGATAAATTTCTTGTACTATCAGTCCCTCAAATCATTTTATTAGCATTTACATCCTCTGAAGATGTCACATGAGAATCATGTGACAAAAATTACTCGTGTCTTCAGGTTAACTGCAAAGAAAGACTAATTCTAACTTGGAAGGCAAAAAAGTAATGTTCTTTGATGTTTAGGTGGTGTAAGTGCCAATAAAATATAGTTTAGGGGGGTATAAGTGGCTACACCTTTATAGCATAGGGGTATATATGCAATTAATCCATTCATTTATTGATATTAATAGCCAGACTCGATTATTTACTGATATTGTTGATGGTGATGATTGTCGCAACTTGGAACTCATGAATGTTGATTATCTACATGCAGAGCTCTGAGCAGAAGCTACAAGATGCCACGAGGGAAACTGATGAAGAAACCCAACTGTGTGCTGGCGAGCTCTTGACCTTGATTGATGCAGTCTCTGAATATAAAGAGTTCATTGAATCATTAACATCCCGAGTGAAAACAGATGTAATTGATCTTGTGAAGTTTGTGGAAGATGCAGAGGCTTCTGCTGTCTCAGCAAAGCTAAACGCTCTTTAATCAAAATGTCATGTTTAATTATTATTATGTATACTGTGTGTGTGTGTTGTTGTGGGTGATTGTTTTCAGTTCAGGTGATGATAGTTGTAATTACGTCTGATCTTTGTCTAATTCTTTCAAGCAAGCCAAAAGGGTAACATGTTGTCGATTTTGGTGTTTGAAAAGTGCTATGCCTCGATCTTTTACTGTAGTAGTCAAATTAAGTTCAGTTTAGGGAAGCATCTAACTCAGAGACCACACTTGGTACTTATTTGAGCTTGGTTTAAGGCTTGACTTTGTTTGGTTGATGGTGTAGTCAAAGACGAATGATTCTTGGTATTACCATGAAATCATTATATCTGTCATATGCATTCATCATATGTAATCATCATATAATTATATCTAGCTAGCTGACGAATGATTCTTCTTGGTCTATTAATTGCAATGGACTCCTAAACATGATTATGTTCCTGAGTTCTAATATCCACTGTATCCTCCATCTATCCATTTGTCATATCTCCTCCCAATGTCATCTCTGTACGAGCCTCAATAGATACAATGTTATTTGAAGTCTGTGGAGTCACATCATCCTTCACCTCCTGCGATACCCCACTAGTCTGGCCTTCCTCCACTTGTTGAAGGACCTGAGGCCTCATCATGTGAGCCTCATCAAAAGTAACATCTTTGCTACTGATTATCTTATTATCTTTCAAATCTCATAACTTGAAGCCTTTAACTTCATCTCTGAAAGCCACAAATGTTGCTTTTCTTGCCCTCGGATTCAATTTACCATCATTCACATGATAGTAAGTTAGATACCCAAATATCTGAATCAAATCATAATCACTAGCCATTGTATCAGAAGTAACATCATCATTCACCTCCTGCGATACCCCACTAGTCTGACCTTCCTCCACTTGTTGAAGGACCTGAGGCCTCATCATGTGAGCCTCATCAAAAGTAACATCTTTGCTACTGACTATCTTCTTATCTTCCAAATCTCATAACTTGAAGCATTTAACTTCATCTCTAAAAGCCACAAATGTTGCTTTTCTTGCCCTCGGATTCAATTTCCCATCATTCACATGATAGTAAGTTGGATACCCAAATATCTGAATCAAATCATAATCACTAGCCACTGTATCAGACCATACCTCCATATGAGTCTTTCTATGTATCGTAGTGCACGACAACCTATTCACGAGATGACTTGCATAAATCAACGCCTAGGCTCATAAGGATAGCTAATTCACTCTGTGTGAGTATACAACACACATTCTCCAGCAATGTACGGTTCAATCTTTCAGCCACTCCGTTTTATTACGGTGTCTCCCTAACTGTGAAATGACGCCCAATGCCATGATCCCGACAAAACTATAAAATTGATCACTCTTGTACTCACCATCATTATCAGAACAGAGTACTTTTACCTTTCTACCTGTTTGCAGTTCCATTTTTTTTCATTCCACAAAGATATCCAGGACCTCATGTTTATGCTTCATGGTATATACCCAATTTCTCCTGGAATTATCATAAATAAAAGTGATAAAATAATTAGCCCCACCAAAAGATGTGTTTTTGGAAGAACCCTAAACATCTGTGTGAACGTAATCTAATATAACTTGGGTTTATGAATCACGGTGTCAAATTTCACTTTTGTCTTCTTCCTAAGTATGCAATGTTCACACAACTCCATCTTGCAGGTCTTTGCACCCTTCAATAGCCCCTGCTTTGTCAATGTCTGCAGAGACTTATCACCAGTGTGTCCTAACCTCATGTGCTATAGATGAGTACTATCCTCCTCTGTGGTAATATAAGCTGCCAAACCCTCTGTTATTGTCTTGCCCTTCAAGTAGTAAAGATTGTTTTTCTGGACATCTCTCATCACCACCATGGACTCCTTGGTGACCTTCAAAGTTGCATTCTCCATGATCACCTTATAACCTGATGTCTCCAAAGTTCCAAGTGAAATGATATTCTTCGTCAATTGAGGAATGAATTTCACTTCCTTCAACTCCCTAGTTACACCGTCACACATCCTGATTCGAACTGTTCCAATACCACTAATGGGACATACGTGATCATTTTCCATTAACACAACATCCCCTCTCTCCAACTCTTCAAAGCTAGAGAACCAATCCCTCCTAGGACAAATATGATATTTAGCACCTGAATCCAATATCCACTCTGTAGAGTCTACATAACAAGCTGACAGTAATGTTGGGCATGAATAGCCTAAAGAATCTGAATCTGAATTGTCACCACTAACTTTGGCAACATTCACCTCTGAAGTCTGAACGACTTTCCCTTTGTTCTTCCCGGATCTACCTTTCAACTTTGGGCATTCATTTTTTCAATTCCATCCTCTTTGCAAAAAGCACATTGATTCCTACCCACATTTCTATGACCACCTATTGGCTTCGATTTTGTGCGATTAAATGGACGGGGTTTAGGACTACGATCTCTCATTGTCAATGCATCTCCTGATGCCTTCTCGGAGGGTTCGCCATCACTCTTCCTCAACTTATAATTCACCAATGTTGAGGTCACCTCCTTGTAACTAATAGTGGTCCTACCATTAATCATTGTAAGGACAAATGTATCATAATCATCCTCTCGTAACGAACACAATAACAACATCGCCTTGTCTTCATCCTCTACCATGATATCCACATTGGCCATATTCGATAGCAATTTCATGAAGTTATTAACATGTTCTCTAATGGAAACTCCCCTCTTTATTTTGAATTGATAAAACCTCTTCTTTAAATGAAGCCGATTTTTAATGCTCTTCGTCAAATACTTGTCATTGAGTGTTTCCCATAACCGTTTCGCTGATGTTTTATTCATGACATCATAAATCAAATCAGACGTCAAATACGATCTAATAACCGTACATGCTCTACTATTTATTTTCTTCCAAACGTTATCCTCCATATCATCGGGTTTCTCTTGTAATTCAAGACTCTCCTCCAAATTTTGAGCATCCAATGCATCCATCACTTGACACATCCACAAACCAAATTTTATATTGCTATCAAATTTTTGAACATCAATTTTTGTATTAGTAATGCTCAAACCTTGTATTGTCTTAGTTAGGGATGATCCGAATGTACTTGCTTCGGTCATGTTAACAATCCAATTTTCAAACGAGAATCTGATACCACTTGATGCACGCAGCGGAATTGAAGGACATGAACAAGATAGGAGAACAGAATCAACAACCAAATACAAGTACCACACAGCAAGATACCAAATTTTACATGGTTTGGCAATGTGCCTACGTCCACGGGGCAAGGAGGGAAAAGATTTTACTAATAGAGAGAGAGAATACATATAGGGTTTAGAATCACTCAATAATCTCACAAAATAACCCTAAAAAACTCAAATATTCTCACTTTCTAAGTGCTCAAACAATGCTCAAATCTTAGCTCTTAATCTCTCTCATAACCCTAGAAAACGTCATGTTCCTATTTATATAAAATAGGAATCCAAAACAGGTCAGGAAAATGAATTTGGGCCCAAACCGCATCGCGGTCGACTGGGCATGAGCATCCGATCGGCCGGCCAGAAGCCCAAACTCTCACCCTGTAAACGTGCACCTTTTCGTTTGACCGGACATGTATGTTCGGTCGACCGTCCAGAAGCAGGAATCCAAACCCTGTAATTTCACAGTCTGTCGGTCGACCGGCCTATGCACTTTGGTCGACTAACCCGTGACTACTCCAGTGCACTCCAAATTTCCTGATCTTCTATGCCGTTTCTACATCATGAGGATCATATACGCTATATTTGGCAAAATTTTGAAGTGCTTAGTCGAATCGGCGAGAATGCATATGAGTTTGAACTTTCGGGAGATCATTGTGTATTAACCACCTTCAATATGTCAATCCTGTTATCCAACAATATCAGGGATAGCTAGAGAATGAATTTTTACCAACCAACAGAGAATGATACGGGAGCAAAAGGAGAACAATGTTTACTTTTGAAATCTTTTTGAAATCTTTAGACTATACGCATGGTCTTAATTATTTCAGCCATGTTGAAATCTAAAAGACATTTTGTTGATATCTAAAAGACATTTTGTTGATATCTAAAAAACAAAATGTATGTGGACATTACTTTGTATGTGGACTATTAATTTCATGTCCTTTTGTATTCCATCATGTATCTATAAATTGTACGCTGAATGGAAATGGAATAAGATTGAATAAAAGATTACAATTTCTCTTCTTCTCTTGTCTCTTGTCTCTTGTTTCATTTCTTTAGTATATTACAACACGTTATCAGCACGAGTGGCTCTAGCCGGTTCGTGATCATCGGTTCGTAGTAATAGATTTTTAGGTGTACATCTTCTGCAAGGTAATAATACATTCGGTCTTTGTCTATTTACATAGTATCAATCTTTTCGTCGAATGATTATGATTATGTCCAGTATAATTTTACCAATAAATTTCTTAATTTTCATCTGTGATGATGTCTCCCCCCGTATTTTTAAATATGAAGTACAGAGAGGACGTCGTAATTGATTATATAAAAGCTATCACCTTTTCATTTATTCTAGGCTCATGCTTAGTCTAGGAGAGTTTTCATCATGTTGCTTCTCACAGTCATGAGCTTGAATTGCATGACTGATAATGCGGGTCTGAGCTTGATTTGGTCGAATTGTTTCGATTTTTGATGTGACTTAATCGTAGAGTTTATGTTGAGTTTTGAAGCTGCTTTACCCTGTTTGATGAGAATAGGATCAGAAGCCAAAAATTGTTGATACTGATGTCTTAGTGTTGTTTATGGTTTGTAAATATTTCAATTTCCGGTAATTTGGTGAATTGAACAATGCTGATTATAGTTTTCTTTTTAGTTTATTCTAACATAGAAATCCTTAATAACATATAGAACAATTTAACATGAGCTGCTCATCTGTGATTCTGATAAGATCGCACGTAACATCAGAAATTTGTTGATGACCTATTTGCATATCCCTTCTTTATGCCGGCCGAGATTGTTTTGACCGTACCCAAAGAAATTTGTGTCTTATTATGATTTGATTCTGATCTAGCCTACCAAAAGGACAAATGTCTTCATTTTTTATGTAACTTTTGAGGTGTAAGTATTTTGTTTTATTACTCATCTTTATTCTCTAAAGTAAGAAAGATGAATTGAATTGTTGGTCGCTAAAATGGAAAATTAAAACATACCAGCTACCTAGTCTAGAGTATGAATAGATAGAGCATCAATCATGAAAAATTGTCATAATATATCAATTTGATGCTTTTGCTTTAAATATTCTATTTGCTTGCTTGAAGTAAAATCTAAGCCTCATGAAAACTTGAAATTAAGTTGTGGGTTTTAAAGCTCATGTTGGCATCCATAAGTGGTCTATTTTTTTATTGCTAATTGCACTGATTCTCCTTCTTCACTGAAATTATGCAATATTAGTTTCTATCCAAAATTCCCTCGGTGGTGTTTTGGATCTGGCAACCTTGAGTTTAGAAGAAAGGATAGCACAAACTGGTTATGCATTTGTTTAATTTCTACTTACTTGAGTTTGTGATGGTCATTGATCGTCCGAGCATTAAAAATTTTCTGTGAATTTTAATATTAGACTAGTTTGCCAGAAGCAAACATTTTGAAAGATAACCTTTATGAAGATCTTTAGAAAAAAAAAGAGCTTAATGATTTTGGTGATTATGTGTGATCTTATTAAAATGTTAATATTTCTAATTTTCTCATGCACTAATCTTTCGTCCCCATGATTAGTGCACTGTGATATATGATAGTAATTATTACTTGTCTTTGGCATCGAACTTTCATTTTTTACTGGACACACCTGTGATTTTTGCACAATTATATCTCTTGATTCTTTAAGTATCTTTGCCCAGAAGGCAAACACTTTAAATTTTCTCTCTATCAATTTTGACGTGAAAAATTAAATGCATCAGTGAAAAAGTATTCATTTTTCTGGGCAATCCCTGAAGGATCGCTTTGATCTATGGAAACCAATAATCTTCCCTTAAACGCAACTGACAAACTGAATCAGAATTTTTTGGAATTCAAATACATGACTAAATATGATTAAGCTCTGTACCAAATTATCTAGCAGCTAAAACTCTGTAAGCAGAACATTACAGACAGTGATAAAATTGATCGAAAAAAATTATTTTCCCTATTCCACGCAAATAAAATTGTACTCCAGTAGCAGTACATGACCAAGAATTACACTTAGCATTCTGAATTGATTAGTAGTCGCAAAGAAGCACAATCAATTGATGATTAGAAATCACAATGTCAGACTAGTTGGCTTACGAGTTGTGTTTGTAGCACATGCTACAATTCAGAAAATTACTTATACGCGAGGACAAGGGGGAGGCTATGAACATAATAGGAGATCTTATCATGTAGCCATTTTTGGATTTTAAACCCTCGACTGAATACAATTCAACAAGTAACATTGTACTCTTACAATACAACAAGTAACATTGTACTCTTACAATAGTACAACTAAAAGCATTATGAACTAATCCTTGCATTAGTAGTTGTTAAAAACACAACCAGCTATTGTGAGAAACCATAATGCAAGTTTAATTGGTTCAGTCGTAGTGCCTGAAGCATATGTCATAATTCAAATTAATATTCATAAGCTCGGACGAGGGGGAGGTAGTAGATCTTATTGAGGTGGTCAAGGAAAACTATTTGGTTTTTCTATGTCAAGGTAAACTATTTGTTTTTTCTATATTTGGATTATATGCATTTGTCAGACAATTTTAATTTATCTTGATTTTGCTTTAAACTCTTGTGAACCTATGTGGTTTTTATTCATATGTGTATATTTTAGAATTTGTCTGACCTAAAATACAACATGTTGCGATGGGTTTGAGATTTAGGGACCCAAATTCTTTTAAACTCTAGCATGAGCGATTGGGTCATCTTGGGCAAAATATTATTTGTCGGATTTTCTTAAATTAAATGGGGCATTCAAACCAAATCCGACCAACTGCATATCTTAATTTTCCCCCTTTATCTAATACGTGGTGTAGAAGTGAAACATTTTCCATCTGCGTATTATTTATTTGCAGTCCATGTTTCTATATTACCACCATAGCGTACCTCTATGGGACATCGGTGAAGGTACATACATTATTTATGAAACTCCGTCAATAATTTAGTACCTATGGCCCATGTCAGGGGATCAATTTATAATTTGGTACGCTGACTGCATTTTCATTGAAGATCAATTCTCGACATTAGGGGGAGATTAGTGCCCAAAATACAAAATAATGTCAAGAAATTCCATTGGTGAAAAAGATCTTCAATATTTATATCCACGTAATAGTCAAACTGAACCAGAAGTTCACATGATAATCTGCCAAGAAAAGAGTGACTAAGCCCCATATTCATGTTGAATATATCATTGATGATTTGGTATGCCAGAAGCATATTGTGCCAGAAGCATATAAAACATGTTAGTGTAAAAGATAAAAATCCGCGGCAAACTAAATTATATATAGAAAGATAGTCACTCCCATAACCTCCGGAAGAGGCTTGTCCTGAAGACGAAATCTCCAGTAAATTGCACGTGCACTTGATAATCATAATATTGGAGATGCGGAACGGCCAAATCCAATTGTTAAGGGAAATGA